CCTTTCTCTGACTAGGGGATCATCAATTTTATTAATTCTTTAAGAGAACCAGCTCTTAGTTTCATTGATCTGCCTTACTGGGTTTTGTTTGTTTGTTTGTTTCTATGTCATTTATTTCTGCTCTAATTTTTATTATTTCCCTTCTTCTCCTAGGTTTAGGCTTTATTTGCTGTTCCTTTTCTAGCTCCTTTAAGTATAAGTTAGGTTGTGTATTTGAGAGCTTTCTTGCTTCTTGAGGTAAGACTGTATTGCTATATATATCCTCCTTGCTGCACCCCAAAGGTTCTGGACTGTAGTGTTTTAATTTTCATTTGCTTCCATATTTTTTTTTTATTTCTTCTTTATTTTCCTGGTTAACCCATTCATTCTTTAGTAGAATGCTCTTTGACCTCCATGTATTTTTGGTCTTTTCAAAATTTTTCTTGTGGTTGACTTCAAGTTTCATAGAATTGTTGAAAATATACATGGTATGATCTCAATCTTTTTGTATTTGTTGAGGCCTCATGTGTGATCCAGTACATGATCTATTTTGGAGAATGCCCCATGTGCACTCAAAAAGAATGTGTATTCTGCTGCTTTAGGATGAAACATTCTGAATATATCTGTTAGGTAATCTGATCCAGTGTGTCATTCAAAACCATTGTTACCTTTTGGTTTTCTGCTTAGATAATCTGTCCATTGTTGTAAATGAGGTGTCAAGGTCTCCTACTAGTATTATATTGTTATCAATGAGTTTCTTTATGTTTGTTATTACTTGATTTATATATTTGGGTATTTCCAAGTTAGGGCATAAATATTTAAAATTGTTAGATCTTCTTGTTGGATAGATCCCTTTATTATTATATAGTACCCTTTTTTATCTCTTGTTAAAGTCTTTGGTTTAAAATCTAGTTTGTCTGATATAAGTATGGCTACTCCAGCTTTCTTTTGATGTCTATAGCATGATAGATGGTTCTCCATCGCCTCACTTTCAATCTTCAGGTATCTCTAGGTCTAAAATGAGTCTCTTCTAGGCAGCGTATAGATGGGTATTTTTTTTTTTTTTATCCATTCTGATGTCCTATGTCATTTAATTGGAGAATTTAGTCCATTCACATTCAGAGTTATTATTGACAGATATGAATTTAGTCCCATTGTATTACCTATAAAAAGTCAGTGCTTCTGGAGATTTTCTCTGTTCCTTACTTGTCTTTGTTGCTTTTGGTTTTTCTTTCCCACTCAAATAATCTCCTTTAATATTCATACAGGGCTGGTTTAGGTGTCACAAACTCTACTTTTTGTTTGTCTAGGAAACTCTTTATCTCTCCTTCTATTCTGAATGACAACCTTGTTGGATAAAGTATTTTTGGCTGTATATTTTTCCCACTTAGCACATTGAATAATCATGCCACTCCCTTCTGGCCTGCCAGTTTCTGTGGAGAGATGTTCTGTAATGTGATTTGTCTTCCCTTGCAGTTTAGAGATTCTTTCCTTTGCTTCTTTCAGGATTTTTTCCTTATCTCTGTATTTTGCAATGATATGTTTTGATGTAGGCCAACTTTTGTTGATCAATTTTGAGGGGAGTTCTTTGTGCCTCCTGGATTTGGATATCTGTTTCCTTCCCAGATTAGGAAAATTTTCAGCTTTAGTTTATTCAAACAAACCGTCTGCCCCTTTTCCCTCTCTTTTTCCTCTGGGATTCCTATGATACAAATGTTATTATGCTTTATGGAGTTGCTGAGTTCTCTAAGTCTACATTAGTCATCCAATATTTTTCTTTCCCTCTTCTTTTTAACTTCATTATTTTCCATAATTTTATCTTCTATATCACTTATTCATTCTGCTTCTCCCATCCATGTAGTCATTACATTCAGTTGTTTTTGCATCTTGGTTAAAGTATTTTTTTTTTATTTTGAGCTGACTAGTTTTTAGGTCCTTTGTCTCTGTGGTGAGGGACTTCCTGGCATCTTCTATGCCTTTCACAAGCCCAGCTAGTATCTTTATAATTATTGTTTTAAATTCTGGCTCAGACATATTACTTATATCTGTTTTGATTTGCTCCCTGGCTGTAACCTCTTCTTGTTCTTTAATTCCTCTGTCTTGGCATTTTATCCAGGTCTCTGTCTTTGTGTGTTAGGAAAGCCTGTGCCTGGTCCTATTTCCACTAGAGCATTCTATGATCAGCAGACCTGGTGTATGCAAGGGTTTGTACTGGTTTTTGGGGGAGGTGCCTGCTCTTGTCTGGCTCCAATCACACATCCCAAATAAAAAAGGCACCTGCAGAGTGCATGGGGGTGGGGCTTGGTGTAAGAGGCTCAAACCTACACTGTGTGTGCTATGTGGATCACTTAAGTGTGTCCTTGCTGATGGGAGGGGTGAAATATTGCGATGTCCTGCTCTGGTCCCCAGAGATAGGAGTTCATGCCTGCCATTATTCAGGAAGCACTCATAGAAGAGTGAATAACCTCTCTTCTTGTGTCCCAGGCTTACATCAGATCTCTGTTCTCACCCTATCAGTGTCCAAGCTGTCTCTCCTCCTGGCAGTTCAGTAATCCTGTGTTTTATCTCAGGTACATGGCTGGGTTTCAAAACCAAATTTCAGGGACCTGGCATGATGGGGACCCACACTTATCCTCTATGGAGGGTCTTGCCACACTGTGTCTGGTGCCAGTTTGTCCAAGAAAAGCAGTTACACAACTGCACAGGGGCTTGGATTTTATGGTAAAGCATAGCAAAAAGCTGGTGTCCAGGTTATCTGTCCTCAGCAGGTGTCTCTACTTCTATGTTTATGAATGTGGGAGCTCACTGGGGCCTGCTGACTCTTTTGTCCCCAAGAGGCAATGTCACCTCTCCCAAATGCAGTCCAAGAAGGGGAACTTCTCTCCTAGTGCGACTCAGGGAATCCTCAGAGTATGCTGTCCTCTCCCGGGCCTCTGCCCTCCTCCATGGGAGCACCAATGAGCCTGCCAGGCTTGACCCTGGCAATGGTGCTAACTTCAAAAACTTCAAACTTCCAGCTCTGCAGCTTGTAAAAATGCAATAATCATCCTGTCTTGTTTTCCAGTCAATGGTTTTGGCAAAGTGTTTTTCTTGTGCAATCTCCTGCATGCTGCTTTCCCTCTCTCCCCTCTCTCTCCTTTCTGTGATCAGGGCTCCCTCCTCTCCATAGCACCTATGATTATTTCCTCCCCCAAGTCATGTCTCTGTACCTCCTACATTCCATGATGTGGCCCCTTTTCTCCCTCTAGTTGTGCAATTTGTCCTCTCAGTCCTCAGATTTCCTGCTTGTTCAGAATGATTTGATAATTATCTAGCTGTATTCAAATGAAGAGGCAAACATAAAGTCCTACTATTCCATCACCTTAACTCCACCTAGCCTTATATCCTTTATTCTATTCATTTTAAGTTTAATTCTCATGTCTTCTGGATTCTTAAAGTGAAAGCTGGGGTTGTTAATTTGAGCCATTTTTGTCTTTTGTAATATCATTTTGTGCTATAAATTCCTCTCAAAGTCTGCTTTAGTGGCATCCAATAGCTTTTGATATGTTTGTTTTTCACTGTCATTCATTTCAAAGTACTTTATTATTTCCCTTTTGGATTCCTTGAACCATGGATTATTTGCCTTCCAAATATTTGGGAACTGAATGAGTTATAATTTAATTCCATTTCAGTCAGTGAAATACTTTGTATGACTTGAATCATTTAAAAATCATTGAGATTTGGGGCGCCTGGGTGGCGCAGTCGGTTAAGCGTCCGACTTCAGCCAGGTCACGATCTCGCGGTCCGGGAGTTCGAGCCCCGCGTCGGGCTCTGGGCTGATGGCTCAGAGCCTGGAGCCTGTTTCCAATTCTGTGTCTCCCTCTCTCTCTGCCCCTCCCCCATTCATGCTCTGTCTCTCTCTGTCCCAAAAATAAATAAAACGTTGAAAAAAAAATTAAAAAAAAAATCATTGAGATTTGGAGAGCCAGGGTGGCTCCGCTGGTTGAGCATCTGACTATAGATTTCATCTCAGGTCATGAACTTGTGGTGATGAGATGGAGTCCTACTTTAGGCTCCATGCTGGGTGTGGGGCCTTCTTGGGATTCTCTCTCCCTTTCTCTCTGCCCCTCCTCTGCTCATGCACACACACACACTCTCTCTTTCGAATAAAATAAGGTAAATTAAAATAGAATAAATAAAATCATTGAAACTTATTTTTGTTGCCCAAGATGTGATCTATCTTAGTACATGCTTCATCTACACTTGAAATGAATATGGATTATGCTGTTTAGAGTTTGAGTATTCTGTAAAGATCAATTGGGTCAAGTGGGTTGATACTGTTCAGGTCTCCTATGTCTTTATTGTGTTTCTATCTGGCAATTCTGGTTCTGTTAGTTATTCAGAAAAGCATATTTATCTTTCCAAATATAATTGTGGATTTATATTTATCAGCTTTTGCACCATGTATTTTGAAGCTATATGATTCAGTTTAAAAACATTTCGGATTATAATGTTTTTTAAAAATTACTTACTGACAGACTTTATTTGTTAACATTATTATAAAATGACATGATGCTATATTTTGAGAGCTACTTTGTCTGACATTAATGTTACCAGCATTCTTTTGATTAGTGTTAGCATGGTTTATCCTTTTCCAACTATTTACTTTTAATGATTTGCATCTCTAAGTTTTCTTATACATAGAATATAGTTTTGTCCTTTTTTATTTTTTTCTTTTATTTTTTTAATGTTTATTTATTTTTGACAGAGAAAGAGAGAGTGAGAGCATGAGTGGGGGAGGGGCTGAGAGAGAGACACACACACACACACACACACACACACACACACACACATCACAGAATACGAAGCAGGCTCCAGGCTCTGAGCTGTCAGCACAGAGCCTGACACGGGGCTCGAACTCACAGACCGTGAGATCATGACCTGAGCTGAAGTCAGACGCTCAACTGACTGGGCCACCCAGGCGCCCCTAGTTTCGGCCTTTTTTAAATTCAATCTTATAATCACTGATTTTTTTTTTTTCACGTCAGATGGGTAATGTGCTGACATTGTAACAAGATATAAGGGTGCCACATATCACACACAGCATGAACACCCAATCATCACGCTTATGAACTACAAAAGGATCTATAATCACTGATTTTTAATTGTATTGAGACCATTTGTGTTTAATGTGATTATTGATATGTCAGGCTTAAGTCTACAAACTTATTTGCTTTCTATCTTACTATCTGCTTTTCATTCCCCTTGTCATTTTTTTCTTCCTTCTTTTAAATTAATTAAATATCTGTTATGTTTATATTTTATTTCCTTTGCTGGCTTATTCTAAAACTGTTTGTTGTTTTGGGGATGCTTTAGGATTTAACACTTACACATATAGTATAAAAACCTTACAATTCTCTTGGCCTTTACATTATTATTGTCACACATTTTCTTCATATGCATGTTCTGTATCCCATGATACACTGTTTTACTTTGTCCATTAGGTCCTAAAATGGAATACCAAGAAAAAAATCTTACATATTTACTTTATAGTTGCCATTACTGGTGCTATTTCTTTCTTTTTATGTATATATATCCTATCTTCTATCATTTCCATTATGTATAATGGAAAAAGTCATTATTTTGCTTTCAATTTTGAGGATATTTTTTAACACTCTAAAGATGTTTCTCCAGTGTCTCCTCACACCATTTCTGACAATAAGCTTTCTATAATCCTTAATTGTGTTCCCCTTTACATAATATGGGTTTTTTTCGGCTTTAAAATGTTCTCTTTATCAGGAACACTTTGATATGATATGCACTGGTGTAGTTTTGTGTTTGGAGTACACTGATTTGTTGGTCATCATATTTAGAAATTTTTTGGACGTTATTTCCTCAAATATGTTTTGCTTTCCCTACATTTCTTTTAGGGACTCCAAATACATGTACATTATACTACTTGAAAGTTGTCTCAGATCTCAATGATGCCTTGGTCAACAAATTCTCTTTTCTGTTTATGTGTCATTTGGGACAATTCTATTGCTATGTCTTTGGTTTCAGTATACTTTTCTTTTGCCATATATAAATTTTCATTAATCCCATCCAGCTGATTTTTCACCTTAGAAATTGTAGTTTTTATATCTAGCATTTTGATTTGGGTCTCTCATAAAACTTCTGTGTATCTGCCTAACATTTTGAACATATGGTTGCACAATAAGTTTTTAATTTCATTAATGTTTATATACTTTTGAAAAAGGGGGAGGGGCTGCAGGAGGGGCAGAGAGAGACGAAGACACAGAATCTGAAGAAGGCTCCAGGCTCTGAGCTCTCAGCACAGAGCCCAATCCAGGGCTCGAACTCATGAGCCATAAGATCATGACTTGAGCCAAAGTCATATGCTCAACCAGCTGAGCCACCCAGGCACCCCTCACAATAGGTTTTTAAATCTCTGCTACTTCTAACATCTGTGTCAGTTCTATGTTGGTTTCAGTTGATTTTTTTTCCTCCTAATAGTAGGTGTGCTTTTGTGCTTCTTTTTATGTCTGGTTATCTTTGATAAGAAAGCTAGACATTGTGAATATTACCTTCTTAAGTGTTAGACATTAAAATATTCTTGTAAATATTCTTGAGCTTTGTTCTGGGATGTAATTAAGCTACTTGGAAATAATTTAATCTTTTTGGTTCTTGATTGTAATATTTTTTAATCTGAATCAGAGCAGCATTTAGTCTAGTTCTAATTATTCCTTACCACTGAAGCAAATCCTCCTAAATGCCCTACTTAATGCTCCATGGATTTTGAGATTTTCCAGTGTGACTGATAGACACAGGTGTTATTAACTCTGTGTGCATATTGGCAACACTTAAATTTTCTCAGACGACTCCTTTGCCTCATATTGTTTCCTCACATGAACTGCTTTCCCAATTCTTTGATGAATGCTTACCCTGTGCAAATTTCTGGGGTTCTCTGTATATCTATCTATCTCCTCTTCAGAACTCTATTCTGTGAATTCTGAAAGCCTTGATATTCCTAAATTTACTTCTATATCCTGACCTTACAGAATTCACCAAGTTCCATCTAGGCTCTTCTTTGAGTTGTTAACTAAAAATTTGCATAAGGTAATAAGTTAATGCAAATGTAGGGATCACTTTGTTTATTATTTCTCTGGGATCACTGTACTTCACTGCTCAATGTCCAGTGTCTTGAAAATGTTTGTGCCATACATTTTGTCTCTGTGTTGTTGGTGTTGTTATTGCTATTATTTCAGGCAGGAGCATAAATTCAATCACTGTTTCTCTATCTTAGTTGGAAAGGTAAGTCAAATACAACTCTCAAAACAAGAACTATGCAAAAGTGCATAAAATATGATACAGAAAAAAGTAGTGTTTAAATGAATTGCTCACAATAATTCTCATAATCATGGTTCCACACTTGGGTCAAAATGTAGCATTTTCTCACTAGTTGATAAATTTTGTTTCCTAAAGTTTGAAATGACACTGTTTCAAACTTAAATTCTAGGTTAAAACAGAAACATTCAAAGAAATTAAAATAAATTATTTTATTTGAAAAATGGGATTTGTATGTATGAATTTTAGCAAAACCTCAAATAAAGTATGAACTTCATAGAAAATAATTGAAAGTTGAAAATTTTCATCTTTGCCTCTTTTTGGTTCCTCAATTTATTTATCAAAGAATAAGTTTCACCCAAAGATGGTGCTTCTTAGGAGAATACCAAGTTCTGTAAGTTATTTAGATAATTTTATATTTTCATTACATCTAGAAAAACTGTATCAGTATCACAGTAACTGATTTTACTGATGCAATCTATCTTTTCTTTAAAATTTATTTTGAGAGAAAGAGAAAAAAAGGGAGCATGTGTGTGGCTGGTGGTGAGGGGGAGAAGGGAGAGAAAGTCCCAAGCAGGTTCTGCACCAATAGAAAACTGTGAATTTATGATCTGAGCTGAAATCCAGGCAGATGCTTAACGAACTGAGCCATCCAGGTTCCCCACAATCTCTCTATCTTAAGCAAAAGAAGACTGACAGTTACATGCCCTGTCCACATTAAGAAAGGCAAATTGGCAAGCATGGGTTATAATTTAAAAATATATACAGACAGAAATGATACAGTATGATATAAAATTTTCAAAGAAAAGCAAGAAATAATCAGCATGTCTATGAAATACTGTCAGTATTTTAGCATTGTGTATTAAGATCACAAATTTCCTTATTTTCTATGAAATTATTCTCACTGAGTTTCTTTGAAGTGGAATAGATACTCTGAGAATCACATACATGGTGAAAACTCTTCAAAGTTCAACCTTTAGGCTTGTTAAGCTCAATGAAATTCATATAAAACAAAGTCCTGCTGTTATTTCTCATTTTTTTCAGTCTCCTAGGACTTATTTTAATAAGGTTTCAATATATTGTTTGAAGTAATCATTTTCTTTCAACTCTATAAAGTAACAACTTTCCAACAAACTTCCAAATTTATGAACTTTTGCTCAAACTAATTATTAAAATCAATATAGATATATAACTTGAAATACTTCATATCACAAGGTACCTATCTACAATTAAAAATTATAAAAACAAATTTAGTTATTTTTTCCATGAATAAAAACAAAATACACAGATCTCTTTTTCATCCCTATCATTAGCTCTGGAAAATTTCCTAACTTCATATATCTCAGAGTATCAATTGTTCAAATAATAATAGTTTGGCTGGCTCACAATGTGAAATACTAACTAGTAATTGGTTTTAAACAAACAAAAATGCAGAATTATGCTTCACTTTTCAAATAAAGTTTTTTCTTATATTAAAATGCTATACTTCTACAGAAAATATTTGCTTATTTATTTACATTCTTACTGTCTATAAGGTACTGTGTTCTGTACCATTGATATAGCAGATAAAAAGTTATATCAGGGTAAAAAGTTTGAAAAAGGTTCCTGTACTCATGGAATTTACACTTGTTAGAGAAAATAGCCAATGACTATGATCATCATTGTGATAAGTCTTATGACAGAAATAAAAAGGTACTATAACAGTAAAAATTTTGGTGGGGAGCTACTTTAGATAAAGTGGTAAGAAAATATCTCTTGGATAGTAGGATATTTGATCTAAGACCTGTAGGACTATGGAGTTGATAAGGACTAATCAAAGGATAAACATTCAGGCTTTCATTGCTGAAGGCAAATGAAAAGTCCTAAGATGTCATAGAATTGAGATCTTCTAGGAACAGAAAGACAACTAGTATTATTGAAGCACAATAACCTGAAAGAGGTTGGTTGCTTGGAGGTAAAGATAAACATGTAGCCAGGAGCTATAACACAGAAGCTCATGTGTACCATTTTGAGACATTTGGTTTTATAAAAAAATATAATATGTTGTAAGCAGAGAATGACAGAATGCTCAAACTGGCATCCAGGAAAAAATTCATATCCCAAGATACTTCTTCCATTTTATCAACAAATAGGTTTAATATCACACTTGTTATGAAAATCAAAAATACCCCAAAAAGGCTTCATTTTTACTTTTAAAATATGTTAGGATTACGGTCCAATATGAAGTTCTAAACTGTAAAACACTTGAACAAAGACTATGCAAATGGATTAACTGAGCAGTTGTAAGAGGCAGCCAACGTTCAATAACACTATCATTTCAAGTCTAATCTGCCAATTGAATATTTATACAGATCAGTAGACTCCATTGGAAGGTTATTCAATTCAGTACATTTTTGCATGCAAGATATTGTACCTGGTGCTCTGCGGGATACTGAAATGAATATGACAATTCTCATAGGGATTTAGAGACCAATATGGGGTAAAAAAGAAACTAAATATTTGATAATAGTGGACCTGAAAATCAAAAGACATTTTCTTTTCTCTTTTCCAAATTCTATCTCTTGTACTAATTCATTACAGGATCTTGATCAGGAGTGACATCGACCCTTAAACACTTCAGGATAAGCTTCTTTACCAAATGTTAATTTTAAAGCAAATAGAGGATAAGAGATCCCCTCATGATTCAGAGGTCAATATTTGGACTTTTGGTTTCAGCTTAAGTGCTTGAGGTAGACTTTTCTAACAGACTTTCCCTTTGTTGCAATTATTTTCTCTTGAATGAAAAGTTTCTTTTTAGGTAC